GCGCAAATTTGAAATCCGATTTCCAATTTTGGATCAAACCAAATTTAGAATTCCTTTCGGCTGCTTGCACAAAGAAACATGCTTAAGGTGGTTTTTAACTCTTATGTGTATCTTAAAAAGATCTCCTTGTGCTTTTATATTATTTCAAGCAAATAAATGTAAAGCAAAGGTTTTTCACGAGTTGAATTAGAATGATGGATTTAATCGTCCACCCTTTCAGCGGATCGTTTGGCATTTATTTTAGGTTCAGAATCCAGCTCCTCTTTGCATTCAAACTGGGAACATTTGAGTCTTCTGAAATTTTGGTTTGTTCAAGGTTTAGTTTCAATATTGGAAACTTAATGTCACAAGATAAATAGAGAAGAGATTTGGTGGCAGACAAAAATAACCTCCTTACGCATCAAAGTATAGCATCAAAGTCTCCATGATGCTATACTTTCCATTTAAAAATAGATATTAATCTGCTTGTTTTAATTTTTCAGTATATCGAACTTTTCGCTTTATCTTTCCTTCTGAAAAACATAGTTCTGATTAAATTGTTTTTAAAAAGTCTACAAAAACTAAATTTGGTTTGCCAGATTGCTTCCTAGCAATTTATTCTACTGAAGTGTTTGTCACCAGCCTGTTTGGTCCTGATGCTTTTTGAGATATTTTAGCCACTATCCATCTTTTTTTTTAAAGTTTTTTTAAAGATTTTGAACAAACTGATATTAAATACTTGGAAACTCACTTGGAATGACCTGCCCTTTTAAAACCAATGGACCGTTGCATTAAAGCAGGGGTCTTCAAACTTGGCCCTTTTATGACTGGCTGAGGAATTCTGGGAGTTGAAGTCCACAAGTCATAAAAGGGCCAAGTTTGAAGACCCCTGCTTGTGGACTTCAACTCCCAGAATTCCTCAGCCAGGCACACTGACTGAAGAATTCTGGGAGTTGAAGTCCACAAGTCATAAAGTTGCCAAGTTTGAAGACCTCTGTATAATATAAACCAGGGGTCTTCAAACTTGGCCTTTTTATGACTGGTGGACTTCAACTACCAGAATTCCCCAGCCAGCATGCCTGGCTGAGGAATTCTGGGAGTTGAAGTCCACAAGTCATAAAAGGGCCAAGTTTGAAGACCCCCTGCATTAAAGAATGTGAAATTATTTTTATCTTAAAATGTGGTTAACATGGCAAAAAAAACAAACCACCACCTTTTTCATATGTATTAAATATCTCAGGGTTGTTTAGTAATGGTTACTATTGGAGACTTAGTTGAAAAGACAGAGATTAATTCTAGATTTGTCCCACCGTTACCATATTTTGGGTCTAAATGTATAAGATTACAATAATGATTTGAGAATGAGAGCATTATTAGGGTAAGTTTAGCTATATTATTATCAGTGTTTAGAATCTGGGCATCAAGAACTGTAGATTTCTCGTGCATGGAGATGGTACAAATAATTATTTTGCAGCAGCAGAGCGATAAATCTACACCTGGTTTGCACGGTATGCCACTTTTATTTCTGTTAATTAGCGTGATATTTATTTCTGTTCATTAGTTTGCAGCAAGTTTCCAATAGGTTAAAAAAGGAAAAAAGGAAAGGGATCTTCGATCGTGCTTGTCTGCATTCTTATTAACTGAATCTTTCCTGTTATTAAGAGATTCCTGCCAGTATAGATGGCACAGGAAGTCCTTGCGTAATGACTTACGATCCCTCCTCAAAGCTACGACTGCAGCACAGACACACACACACACACCCCTACGGTGACATGATTTGCACTGGCAACCCTGTCGGATTTAGAACTGGTTGCAATGTCAGATTTTTATTCCCAAAATTTCCAAATAAAGGAGCTTCAGGTAGCTTTTCAGCTCACTTACGGTGTCTGTCACCCCACAACAGTCGACCTCAAGTTGAGCCTAAACGCTCTAATTACACACAAGAGGGAATAACTCTTCCCTGACCTCGTCTACTACCTGGAAGTAAAAGAGGAAGAGGAATCATTCACGACTGGTTATATTTTTGCTATTTTTCCTGGACAGTGTTTCTCTCTTACGCCACACCACTTATTTTTAGAAGATGCAAAAGTGGGGATGACTTTTTTCGTTTTTTGAACGAAGCACCAAGAAGCGTCTATTCCAGGGGTAGTCAACCTTGGCTCTTTTATGACTCGTGGACTTCAACTCCCAGAATTCCTGAGCCAGCCACGCTGAGGGGAAAGGGAGAGGTTTCCAAGCTGAGCCATGCTGGCTCAGGAATTCTGGGAGTTGAAGTCCACGAGTCATAAAAGAGCCAAGGTTGACTACCCCTGGTCTATTCTAGTGGAAGGATGCAACTTCCTAGTAGGAGTTGCCTACTTTCAGTTGCCTACTTTCATTCTGGCCTTGCTTCTCTGAAGCAACAACTGAGGCTACCTCCCCCCATTGGGTCGGCATAATTGGCTGGCCTGGAATTACCCCTCCTGGATATGGAGAAAACCTTGACTCGCAAGAGAGAGAGACCCACAATTTATTTTTTGCTGGGTAGCTCAATGCTCCCTTTGGAAATTGCTGTTTTATTCTGTTAAATATAAAATAAACGATGGCTGGTTCGTGCTAGGGACGGTTATCTCTCCTCTGACAGAAGTAGCAGATTTTTATTTTATTTTATTTTATTTAAAAAAAGATCAGAGACCGAAGCCTCAGCAAAGGCATCTCAGCCTAATTATCAAAAGTATGTCATTCCTACCCTATTTTAAGACTTCCAGAAATAAGAACCAGGGCAGGGACATCGGCCGAGTCTCCTGACATCAAGCAGCAACAGCCAACTCTAACTTTTTTTTCCTCCCCGCCAGAAAAAGAGATATTTGCTTCATGCTTCATGTACAGAGTGCCTGACAACAGAGCTGGGGAACTACAGCCCCTTTTATGACTGGTGGACTTCAACTCCCAGAATTCCTCAGGCATCCATGATGGCTCGGGAATTCTGGGAGTTGAAGTCCACAGGTCCTAAAAGGGCGATAGTGAGAGCACTTAGACTGTGCTTTACAGCCCTCTCTAAGCGGTTTACAGAGTCAGAATATTACACACACACCCCAACAATCTGGGTCCTCATTTGACCGACCTCGGAAGGACGGAAGGCTGAGTCAAAACCTTGAGCCGGTCAGGATCGAACTCCTGACAGTGGGCAGAATTAGCCTGCAATGCTGCATTCTAACCACTGAGCCGCCACGGATTAGATAGCAATAGCGATCGCGCTTAGACTTATAGACCGCTTCACAGTGCTTTTACAGCCCTCTCTAAGCATATGTATAGGATCAGCCTCTTGCCCCCCCACACAACAATCTGGGTCCTCCTTTGACCGACCTTGGAAGGACGGAAGGTTGAGTCAACCTTGAGCCGGTCAGGATCGAACTGCTAGCGGTGGGCAGAGTCAGCCTGCAATGCTGCATTCTAACTACTGCACTGCACCAACACAGAAGGAAGGAAGGAAGGAAGGAAGGAAGGAAGGAAGGAAGGAAGGAAGGAAGGAAGGAAGGAAGGAAGGAAGGAAGGAAGGAAGGAAGGAAGGAAGGAGGAATATGAGAAGGGAAGGGAAGGGAAGGTAAGAGAAGGAAGAGGGAGGGAGGGAGGGAAGGAAGGAGGAAGGAAGGAAGGAGGAATATGAGAAGGGAAGGGAAGGGAAGAGAAGGAAGAGAAGGAAGAGGGAGGGAGGGAGGGAGGGAGGGAAGGAAGGAGGAAGGAAGGAAGGAAGGAAGGAAGAACAATAGCACTTAGACTTATATACCGCTTCATAGTGTTTTGCAGCCCTCCCTAAGCAGTTTGCAGCATATTTGCCCCCAATAATCTGGCTCTTCATTTTAACGACCTGGGAAGGACGGAAGGCTGAGTCAACCTTGAGCCGGTCAGGATCGAACTGCTGGCGGTGGGCAGAGTCAGCCTGCAATGCTGCATTCTCACCACTGCGCCACCACGGGCGTAGTTCCCCACCCCTGCCTTACGGGGAAGATCTCCAACCGAAAAATATGAGGTATGTATGTATCCAAGAATCTGCCCTGGTCCCAGAATTCCCACTGGGGGATTCCAGCTTAAGCCTGGTTTACAGGGAACGTACGTGTCTGTCGTTCGGAGACGGTTGCATAGCGTTTATACTTTGGCAAATGTTCACGTTTTGGCTGGAGGGGGGGGTGTCCGCTCAAACAACAAAGCACGGGGAACGTGCCCTGCCACTCACCCGACAGGAAGTCGGATCAACCAATCAAGCATGCAGGGCGCGCGTTCCCACGCCACCCGTAGCCGAGGTTTGGGAACTTGCGCGTGTTGGTCCATCTGCAACTTCCTGCAACGGCCAAGTCTCCTTTCAACTTCTTGTTAACAGAAACAGCCACATCGTTCCTCCCGGTTTTAAATTTAAAACGTTTTTTTTAAATTTAAAAGAGTAAAAAATGGTATTATTTTTTTTTCTTCCAAAGACTGCACCGTTGAATTTGGGAAGGGGGGGGGGGACATGGGAAAAAAAAAAAGAAGCGAAGGAAGGAAAATACTGAATATTCTGTAAGATACAGTAAGGTACCCCAAGACCCTCCCGCCACCCAAACCTCTCGGTCCAAGCAGATCCAGTTCACAGCGGTGTCATCGGAATGGCTTCGTTCAAGTCCCAGTGCCAGGTTGGGTACAAGCCATTTTAAAAAAAAGAAAAGAAAGAAAAAAGAAAATTATTTTAAAAAGTTAATGGACGCATCCGTGGGTTACCCTCAGAGGTCTAATACTGACCAGTACTAGAATGTTACTCCACCTACAAGGGGGAGAAACGGGGACCTTTGAGTAAGAGTAGAAAACGGGTTTGCGTTCAGGAAGGTTTTGTAACTTCTTCTTTGGCAAAACGATGACCGAGAAGGCATATAAAAAAAGGTCCTGTAAATACGTGTGCTCGGTTTTAATCCGTCTTGGAAAAAGAGGCCACCAAGAAACTTAAGCGGGGTAGGCAGCCCCAAAGTCAGACAAACCGATTCGTGTTGTTTTTTTGTTTTGTTTGTTTGTTTGTTTTTTTGCAGTTGTTGGTCTGTCCTAATGGCAACAAGAGAAGGGCTGAATGAAGTTACAAAACAGTATTTTAGGCATCGTATTTTTTACCGGTCCTGTGAATCTGCTGGAAGAGAGTCATGGAAAAGGCCATGCCGAGAATCTGGAAGACAAAGCGTGAAAAGGATGTCAAGAGTTAATTGTGGGACACAAACGGCACTTTTACAGAGGGCCCTACGGTCTCTACCAGAGTCATGGAAGACAGAGCCCCTTGCAATAAAATCTGGATTACCATCTTTCTTTCTTTTTTTCTTTCTTTCTTTTTCTTTCTTTCTTTCTTTGTTTCTTTCTTTCTTTTTTTCCTCTTTCTTTCTTTCTTTTCTCTTTCTTTTCTTTCTTTCTTTTCTCTTTTCTTTTTTCTCTTTCTTTCTACTTTCCTTTCTTTCTTTCTACTTTCCTTTTTTCTTTTTCTTTTTCTTTCTTCCTTTCCTTCCTTTTTTTTCTATTTTCCTTTCTTTTTTTTCTTTTTCTACTTTCCTTTCTTTCTTTTTCTACTTTCCTTTCTTTCTTTTTCTACTTTCCTTTCTTTCTTTTTCTTTCTTTCTACTTTCCTTTTTTTCTTTCCTTTCCTTCTTTCCTTCCTTCCTTTTTCTTTCTTTCCTTCCTTTTTCTTTCTACTTTCCTTTCTTTCTTTCTACTTTCCTTTTCTTTTTTTCTTCTCTTTCCTTCCATTTTCTTTCTACTTTCCTTTTTTTCTTTCCTTCCTTTTTCTTTCTTCTTTCCTTTTTTTTTCTTTCCTTCCTTTTTCTTTCTACTTTCCTTTTTTTCTTTTTCTTTCTTTCTTTTTCTTTCTTTCTTTCCTTCCTTTCCTTCCTTTCCTTTCCTTCCTTCCTTCTTTGTTCTTTCCTTCCTTTTTCTTTCTACTTTCCTTTCTTTCTTTCTTTTTCTATTTATTTATTTATTTATTTATTTATTTATTTATTCATTCATTCATTTATTGCAACCCTGTAATCCCTGAATTCAGGGTAGAGTTGGAGCCACTGAACAGAGCTGAGCATTTTCTGGCTGGATGCCCTTCCTGATGCTCGCAGATGTTTGCAGCAGATTTTTTTTTTCTTTGCGCCCTGAGAGAGAAACCTCTGTCACTGTCTGGGATTGAACTTTCAACCTTCCGAGTGGGGAGGCGAGCATCTTCACCTCTAGCATCTTGGCCCGGAGGATTGAATCTTCACTTGACATGTTTCACCAGATGTACTTATCATTGACCCCGCGGGCATAGCCACACACACACACACCCACACACCCAAAGAGCTCGGTTCAAATCTTGTGCCAGTTCCTTGCATGCCTACTTGGGAGACCTTTATAATGACTTCTATCTCAGCTTGCATTTTTGCAAAATAATAATAATAATAATAATAATAATAATAATAATAAATTACTGGTCCTTCCACATCCGGAATCCAAGACATCCTGCCTCGTTGTTTAGTTCGCCCATACCTGTATTATGAGGAGGCACATTCCGACAGCCCCAGGGATGTGCTTGTTATCGTCAAACCACGTCATGACCTTCTCGTAGCACCCCTGGAGAAGGAAAGGCCTCTTAAAACATTGTTTGATAGCAAAAGGATTCTTGAGCAGAAGAGAGCCGCGGTGAAAAACAAAAATGGAAGGTTTGACTCCTGCACATTGTCTCCTCCCTCTGGGTTCCTATTGTAAGCAAGAGCCTTTGGGAGGAATTAGGAACTTCAAATGATATTGGACGAGGATTCATCAAGGAGGTGAATTCTGCTCTTTTGTTCATGCACAGATTGCTCACCACCCTAGTTAATAAACATTTTCTTTTTCTTTCTTTCTTTCTTTCTTTCTTTCTTTCTTTCTTTCTTTCTTTCTTTTTTTACAGATTACATGATTTTGCCTCTCCTTGGCAGCTGGCTGCAACACACGTGTATAGGCGAGGTTATTTTCATTCGGAACGTGTCTCCAGCACGCACAATTTTAAAAAAAAAAGATCTATCTAAATTTATTTTGCGTGAATCTTATATCGCTATGGGTTTAATCCCTGGAAGGAAGATTTCCAGAGACGTTTACTGCCGTAAGCTCGGACTGGGAAGCTGAAAATATCTCCCAGAAGCCAGAAGGCAGTCCCATCTGTAGCGCTGCTGAAGCAACCTGCGCAAAGAATCCTCCAGAAAGACACCAGATTGACTTGAAGGTGACTTTACTTTTTTTTTTATCTACTACACCGTGCTTAAATCCTCTCTGGTGGAACGTTAAGAGAGCTGCACAAGTTCCCTCTGTGATCTGTAATCTAAGCATCAACCAGACACAAGTATTTTTAGCACCAGATCGATGCTTGAACAAATGGCTGAGTGAACAACAGTTATTATCTATTAGCAGATTTACGCCCCAATCCTATCCTGAGTTACCTAGAGGTAAATCCCGCTGAATTCTACAGGACTTCAGGATTCGCGGTGGATACCATTATAGGTCGTCCTTGACTTATAACCACTTGTTTAGTGACCGTTCAAAGAGACAACAGCACTGAAAAAGGACACTTACTACCATTTTTTTCACCCTTACGACCGTGGCAGCATCCCCCGGGGGGTCACGTGTTCAAAATTCGGACGCTTGGCAACTGACTCATATTTACGACGGTTGCAGCATCCTGGGGTCCTGTGATCCCCTTTTGCAACCTTCTGACAAGCAGGAGAAGCCAGATTCACTTCACAACTAATTTTGTTACTAATTGAACAATTTGCAGGTCGTGTGTGATCACTTTCGATGACCTTCCAACGAGCAAAGTCAACGGGGAAAGCTAGAGTCCCTTCACAACCGTGTTCAACGGCAGCGACTCGCTTAAACAACGGTGGCAAGAAAAGCTGTAAAATGGGGCGAGGCTCACTTAAGAACTGCCTTACTTAGCCATGGTCCTAAATACTCCTAGTCAACGAAGCAGCTTACGTTGGGAAGAATCTACGGGTGAGGAAGCGCGAAGGCAACGTTCAGAGAATGGGTTACCGTTTTCCACACCAGACTGGTGTTGTTGGAATTCCGTCCACAATCTTGGGAATTCTCCATGCAGCACCTGTCAGGGACAACGTTATCGCCCAACACGGGGTACCAATCTCTGTAATCAGTTACCCCACAGCAGCGCATCTATTGAGGGGGGGGAAAAGGAGGAGAATGAGGACCTCTGTTCCTAAGGAAGTCGCTTAAAGTTCACAACGTTATTAGAGAAACGAGTATATATTTCGAAAAAAAGCCGTGTTGTGCGTGTAAAATAAAGGCCAGAGACCAAGCACCTTACTATAGGTAGTCCTTGATTAACGACTGCCTTGTGTCGGTGACTTTCAAACTTGTTATGGCGCTTACTTACTTCCCTCCCTTCTGCATTAGAGTGTTGTGCATTTTGTTAGAAAGCCCGCCAAACTATTCTACTGGGGAACCGAGGATGATTGCATAGCCCTGGGGTGAGAAGTTCGGCTTTGAAATAGTGTAACTCTTTGGAGGGAATTTCAGACTTGGTTTCACTTTTGACCGCGCCCGATATTTTGTATCTAATAAACATGTTCTTTGAGGAAGCCTCTAGCCTCGGAGTTCTGATTTATTTAGTTCTATCTATCGGAACCATGACAGCAGACTTTCCAGCAATGAAAAATGTTGCAGGAGGTTACAAGCAGCGCAGACTAATAAAGAACATGCAGTACGTAGATGAGAATTTATTAAGTTCAGGAGGAAAGGAAGTGCGGATTGCTAGAGCTAGCAAATGCCAGCAGATGGCAGCCACAGAACAGCAAAGACTTATCGGCTATCCTGCAGTGGTTTTCTAGTTTCTGACTCCGATCTGGTAACCCTTGAGTATGCAAAGACGTAAGTAAGCGCTTAGGTTTTACCTCTGCTTGAATGATATTCCACGCATTCTTCAGCCCAACGTTGTTTTCTGTGTTATACAGCTTGAGGCCCTCCTTCAAGTCCTGCTTTGCGCTTTCACTCACCTATTTCATACAAAGAATTGTTTTAATTGTTACTTTCCGCAGGTATGAATACGAGACAAACGGAGCAGAATCATCACTAACGGGGTGGAGAATTCCTGGCTTCAAACTGGCTTTTGGAGAAAAATTCCTCAGTACACAAAGGGGTATCTGCAGAGTAGCGTCCAAAAAGTCAAAATTACAGCTGCTACAGCGTGATTGGGGCTGCCCCCTTTCGAAATAATTTGACCCCCCCCTTCTTTGTGGCAGCCCCTCAAATACTGGAATACTGCTATCATGTCTCCCCTATTTCTTCTTTTCTTGGCTAGTCTAAAGAAAAGAAGAAACAGGGGCGACCTGATAGCAGTATTCCAGTATCTGAGGGGCTGCCACAACGAAGAGGGGGTCAAACTATTTTCCAAAGCACCAGAGGGCAGGAGAAGAAACAATGGCGGGAAACTGACCAAAGAGAGAAGCAACCTGGAATTAAGAAGAAACTAACTTCCTGACAGTGAGGACAATTAACAACTTGCCTCCAGAAATCGTGGGCGCTCCATCACTGGAGGTTTTTAAGAAGAGACTGGACAGTCACTTGTCTGAAATGGTATATAGGTACTCCTGCTTGAGCGGGGGGGCTGGACTAGAAGACCTCCAAGGTCCCTTCCAGCTCTATTCTATCCTAAATGTGCATTGCAGCCCCATGGAGAGTAGCCCACGCATGAAGAAACACATAAGGAGGGCCTCCTAATCCAGGAAGGAGCGCAACGCAAGACAGATCTGTGCAAAAGGCTTTCCTGGCTACATCCTGGCTGTTTGGAAGGAGCTAAGGGTGCAGGAAGACACACATACACACCCCAAATTGTGCCCCCGTTTGGTCTGGGGCAGGGGTAGGCAACCTTGGCTCTTTTATGACTCGTGGACTTCAACTCCCAGAATTCCTGAGCCAGCCAAGCTGGCTCAGGAATTCTGGGAGTTGAAGTCCACGAGTCATAAAAGAGCCAAGGTTGCCTACTCCTGGTCTGGGGGAGGCACAACTCCCTCAGAACTAGGAAAGGGACATCCCTGAATCCAGGGGTCATGCTGCTCCACTTCGGTCTGCTCCCCCTTTCCCAGGCCTCCCCCCCCTGGGGAAAGTCCTTGGCACATCAGTCAGTCAGCCAGAGTTTGATTGATGTGTCTGAGTAACTAGCAGCTTACTCATGATACCTGATCCCATCCTGATGGATGGCCTCCCCAGAGGCCTCATATAGGAGTGGAGAGAGTACTGAATCTTCAAGGACCCCCACAAATCAGGGGTTTTTTAATTGGACCTCTCTCCTTCTGAAGGTAACCAGGCCTGGAGAAGAGCTACTACAACACTGCACCCCACACCCAGCTCCCTTACTTGTTCCAGAATGATACCCCGGGAGAGAACAAGGACACGCAGGACGGTTACATATCCTCAATACATGCAATTAATGTCAATCATGCCCCCACCTCAAACCCCGATGGAAAAGAGCCCAGATAACCCTGATAATGACAAATATTTAAACGCTGTTTATATTAGCATTAGCATTATTAATCATTACTGGCACTAACGATACTATCTACATAAATAAAAATGTAAATGTTCGTTTGTTCAAAATCTTAAATCTCCAAAAGTTCTTCACCGATTGCTTTGAAATTTTGACACACGGTTGCATTCGAATACGCGTGTGTTTTTATATACCTACTATTATATAGATGTCACACCTGTGACAGGTAAAAACTCTTTTCTTTCTTTTCCATTTAACCAGACTGAGCCACAGCAACGCGTGGCCGGGTACAGCTAGTTACTAATATTAACCTCTTAAAACCAACGGTATAAAAGCAGCATCCCACACAAAGGTGTCTGTTCGAGCTATTTTCTTTCCCCTCTCCATAAACAGATTTTTTTGGGGGGGGGGAGCGAGTTGATTCAGCTGTAAATACACCTCGTAGGTTCTGAGTTGGGAACCCGGTGTGCAAATTCATATTTCTAAAGACCTTCCCTTCTATTGTTACATAATTTGAATCCAAAGAATTACGGGTTGGCAAAGGCCAACAGCTGTTCCCCTGACGGGTCACGCATAGCACCATAAATAAAAACTGTTAATTTCTTTCTTCCTTGACCTAGATCTGGTGTCTTTCTTCATTCGACTGAATGTGCCTTTTCTCTAAAATCTGGCTTGGTGCTCATTGTCTTTTTGAGGGAACATGCATGTATTTGTTGTCCCCCCCCCCAAGGAATTATGCTACAGAAAAGAAGCTTTGGTTCTGAGGATGAGCGAACCGGCCTAGTGGCCTGTCTGTCTGTCTCTCTGCCTGTGTCTGTGTCTGTGTCTGTGTGTGTGTGTGTGTGTGTGGCTATATAAATACATACCTTGTCCATATAAACGAAGAACAAAATCAGCAATATCAGCTCAGCCAGGAGAATGATCAGCAAAACGACAAAAAACTGAAAGGAAAGAATAACAGGAACAGGGCGGAGTGTCAGAGTAATTGGAGAACAGAAAGGGTTGGGAACATCTCACCGTATACGACAGTGGTGGCGAACCTATGGCACGCGTGCCAGAGGCGGCACTCGGAGCCCTGTGGGCACGCACGCCGCCGCCGCTGCCAGCAGCTTGCGCACGTCCATTAGGCTGCCGCCATCACCTGGAGCAGCAGCCCTACCCAACACAAAGGAGGCCAAGCAGCCAGCTGGCAAGCTTGAGTAGAGGTGGTAGAGCACGCCCACGCCCAGCAAGCCGAAGGCCACCCCCGAGCACGGAAAGCCAGATCCTCATTGGCACCATGGCCCCCCAGTCCCAGCTAGGATTGCGTGCCTCCCCGCCATCTATGTTGGGCCTCCTGCCCATCGCCCCACCCGCCAGAGACCCCCTGGATCTCCCCCAACCCTGCCCAGCCCCCACAGGCGTCCCCCCCATGAGCAACATTGAGGTGGCCATGCCCACTGCAGGCACGCCCACCCAGTCTGCCGTGACAACCAGTCATGTCCATCCAGTGGGCCATGCCCACCCAGTGGGCCACGTCCCATGCACCTCCCTGAGGGCACCACAATGCTGATGTGGCCCTGGCACTTTGTGATAAGTAAGAGGGGTTTTGGGTTGTGGTTTGGGCACTCGGTCTCTAAAAGGTCCGCCATCACTGGTATAGGAAAACGTGAGCGGGATAGTTGCATTAACCTCCTTAGGCGTAATTAAAACAACAAGGGAAATAAGCTCTGATTGAATCCCCCCAAGAGAGACGGTGCCCCCACGGCAGCAGGACCCTGATCGGTTGTGTCTTCTTGAACTAATGGCTTAAATCACAGCTGGAGGTTATGAGTTGGGGGGGGGAAGAGAGCTTTGCCCAGCTTCAACTGGTGGGCCAGTTCGGATCCCACCCAGAACTGATTCTGCCTCAGTGACGGAAAATCAACTCTTGATCGGTTGGATGGCTGTATTGCGCTCAACGGGTGCGACCCTTGAAGGCAACTGGGCAGCGCCTGAGTGACCGTTCAAAGTTACAACGGCACTGGAAAAAGCGAGTCGTGATCGTCTTCCACGCTTCTGTAGCAGCCCCAGGGCCACGTGTTCAAAATTCAGATGCTTGGCAACTGACTCATATTTATGACGGTGGCAGCGTCCCAGGGAGTCACGTGACCCCCTTTTGCGACCTGCTGTCAAGCAAAGTCAAGGGGGAAGCCAGATTCACTTAACAACTGAGTTGCTAACTTAACAACTACGGCGAATCTGTCAACGCTGCTAACATCGGATGTTTTTGCATTGTCAAAGGATGTCGGAGGCTTTGAGGAGGAAAATAAAAAAGCCATTTTTTTTTCCCGGGGCGTGAAACAGAAGACTCGTCCACAAACCGACTTACGCTTAAAAGCAGGCACTTGTTCTCCTTGATGGCACCCAAGCAGCCCAGGAAGGCTGTTACCATGACAACGGTGCCAATGGCGATGACCAGGTTGGCAGCCGACAGCGATGGGAAACTGGGAGAAAATGTGGCGAAGTTTCCTTGGGAGACGGAGAGCCATATTCCCACGCCCAGGAGCCCACAGCCGCACAACTGCACAGAGAGAGAGAGAGAGAGAAAAGAGGAAGAAGGGATGAGGGGCAGGAAAACCATGGGCCTTTGCCGTTTGCCACGCAGACAGGCCCTGGAGCGGGTGAGAGGAGGGGGGTGCCACTGTGCCCTTGACTACTCGCCACCGTGGGGGGGGGGCTGCCGACAATTTCCTAACAGCGAGGACAATTAATCAGTGGAATTGTTTGCCTTCAGAATGTGTGGGTGCCAAGTTTACTGCCCTCCTAACCATACCCAAGCACTCTGAGTTTGTTGGCAATGTCCATTTTGCTCTACGAGTCCATAGTGACCTAACCCTAAGTGGAATTTTCCTCCAATGGGATTTTCCCATGTAATTTACCAGGAAAGATAGGGCAGCCTAGAAAAGTCAGTGCCCTCCTAACCATACCCAAGTTTGTTGAGTTTGTTGGTGATGTCCATTTTGCTCTATGAGTTCATGGTGACCTAACCCTAACCCTAAGTGGAATTTTCCTCCAATGGGATTTTCCCATGTATTTTACCAGGAAAAAAAAATAGGGCAGGCTAGAAAAGTCAGTGCCCTCCTAACCATACCCAAGCACTCCGAGTTTGTTGGCGATGTCCATTTTGCTCTCTGAGTTCATGGTGACCTAACCCTAACCCTAAGTGG